GTTTGAACTGCAAGGTTGGTGGTTCCAGCTCACCAGCTGCACCTTGGAAACCCTATACATAGTCGCTATGGGTCGGAACTGACTCAATAGCATTTAACAACAACAACACTTCATTGTATAGTGCCTGGGGTCTTAGAATCTTGCATACAGGCCTCCACTGCACAGTTGGTTTATATTCACCTGAAGAAATAAAGGAAGAAGAGTCAGGAATAGAAGGAAGATATGGAATGTGTGGCTAATTACCTCCATGAGCAATAACCTCCCTCACCATGAAATCAGAAGAGGATGTTGTCAGGCTACCATTACTTAGCGTTTTAATAAAAACTTCCATCAAAGAATCCTGGTCAAAAAGGGAAAATGCAGAGAAGTAGTTAAGGTTCTTACAGACTCTAGACTTCCTGTAGCAATGGAACCTAGGTGAACTCCTGAAACTATTGCCCTGAAATAATCATTAAATCTTAAACCATAAACACCCCCTTGATGTCTTCTTAAAACTATGTTGTGGTTGTGTGCCGTGGAGTCAGCTCCAACTCATAGTGAGGACCCTGTACAGGGTTTCCAAGGGTGTAAATCTTTACAGGAGCAGAAAGCCTCATCTTTCTCCTGCGGAAACAGCTGGTAGTTTTGAACTGCTTTCCCTGAGGTTCGCAGCCTGATTTGTAACCACTGCGCTCCCAGAGCTCCTTTCTTAAAACTATAGTTTAGCTAAACTAGTAAAAATGGTATGCGTTGAGCATTATACTATTTAAGTAACTATATATATGGGATCAAATTGACAGACTTTAAGGATCAGCTAGGGACCTTAGTGGGCAGTAAGTTGATGTTAATAGGGGAGGAACAACTCAGAAGAGGAGGTGAAGAATGTTTGCACAACTCCAAGCACATAATCAATGGTCCTAAATTGTGAATGTGGAAATGGTTGCATTGGTGTTTTGTTTTTGTTTTTTGCTATGCATATTCTCAACAATAAGAACAAAATAAATACATTTTAGAATGGAAAAAAAGTGCTTAATCTCATGCTAGATACATACTTGTTTTGCTAAAAAATGTGATACACATGCTCAGAAACCCTGTGCAGGGTTGCTATGAGTTGAAACCAACTCCATGGCACACCACTGCTGCCACATCCACTTGTATATGGAATTGAGCAATACTGTTGTCATAAATGGAAGAGATATGCAACTTTAATAGAGATCCTTTTTCTGAGTATATTATTATGCTTCATTTAAAAAATATTAAAAGATTGCAGTTTAAGTGAAGATATCTAAAGAACTTGCCATCTCTACTCATTGTCATTTTTTAAAAAAGGCACAGAGGCAACATTGCCTCTCTGTTCCTCAAGGTCAACTGAAATGAGGACATCACACTGTTCTTATTGAGGCACTGAGCCTATTCTGTACTTCCATTTAAGATCAGTGATTGCAGTTATAATTCCGGGACAATAGGGTTTTTAGAGTCAAAAGGACTGCAAGTAAGCACTTTGGTGGAGTGTCCTGGACAACTTTGCTGTACGCCTGCAACCTTCCATCTATTTGGGACATGCCAGGATTAGAATCACTGAGGCACAGCGGACTGAGTGGATTTCATGATGAGTACAGCTTGTATGCTGTAGTGAGAACATCAATCATTCTTCACATGATGCTCCAATTTTCTGAAATGGAAGGTAGAAATGAGGTTATTATAAGGATGAAGGAGACCTGTTTTGATATCCTCCCCCCCCACCTCCCCCAGCAAGAGAAACTTATGCTATACGTAAGGAAGAACTTCTTCAATGCATGAGTGATTCGCTGTTTACATTGAAAAATGTGAACTCTCTTTGAAGGGTATATTTAAAATATATTTTAAAGTTGTTTTTAAATGATTAATAATCTATTTGGAAACAGAATAACTGGGTTTCTGCCTTTTTGTTTTTAAAGATTGTTTAATTTTTTAAGATTGTTTGACGCTATATAATACATTAACTACTTGTTGCATGAAGCTTTCTTCAGAATTTTGGGGCTTATTATTATTTGTTACATTATTAATTCATAATGAATAAGTTAGCTTTAGCTTTCAAATTTATGAAGGGTTAATTTTATAAATCTTTAGTGTACTTATTTAACTCATCAATAAATTCATTGAAGGAGTCTTAATACTAATAGTCTTAATATTAATCAAGGAAACTCTTTCTTGCATATCTTTAATACCAAGGTTTATATTCTATATAAAGTTAATTTCCTCTGTCTCCTATATCTTTAGGAGAGAATAAAGCCATTTACTTTGCCTATCCATGTCGACGTCATAGCTGTTCTGTAGTAAACATCCCAGCACCATGTGTCAACAAAATGATTTCACACATTCAAGATGTAGAGTCTAAAATACAGAAGTATTTGAAACAGGTAAGTGACTTATTTAAAGTGATAACAGTGATGTTGACTCTGTAGAGGTTCTGCTTTTTAAAGAACTCAAGAAATTATTTTTGATTTTTTACTGATAGAATCCTTTTCCTTTGCTAAGTTTCTTCATTTACAAACCTAGACATGCTTTTAATCGTCTCAATGCAGAATGGTGAAACAACCCTTAATAAGCAGATTTTTTTCCCTACCTGCTTGTTCTTTATCCAGAGGCAATCATGCTAAGTAGTAATTTCCATAAGCCAACTTGACTAGTACATTAAATAGTGTTTACATCCTTTTTGGGACACTAAAATGATTAGGTGATTAGATGAGTAAATTGGTATATAAAGGACAGCGTGCCCTTTTTAATGAATTATTTTGTTCTGAAGAAATACTTAATAGGTCTATTGAAAGACAATATAATAATTCTCACTTTGTCTTTTTAACCGGTTAAAGTTTGCCTTCTATTATTCTGAAGGGCATTCAGTCTTGAAATCACTGTAATTTCTGATTATTTTCAAAAGATGATTTAGGAATGATTCACATTTCTCATAGTTTTTATTAAAATTATGTTTCTGAACAACAATGTTCATAAACCTGTGCTATTTCTTTTCCTTTGTCACTATTAGGGTATAATGCTCCAAGATGTCCTGGTGCATCGCTCACAATTCTTGGTCCAGGGTGTCATATCTTTTGAGAGGCATTAGAGTACAATTGTTAAGATGGCAGGCATTACATGTGTTCTTACATGGGAATGGAGATGTTGGTATTAGGGTAGAGGAATAGCTAGCATATGTTGTTGTTAAGTACTGTCGAATTGGTTGTGACTCATAACAACTCTGTATAGGGTTTGTGAGGAGCTGCTGGTGAGTTCGAATGGCTGAACTTTTTGTTCAAAAAAACCAACCTTATGGTCAAGTGCTTATCCTACAGCGCCACACCAGGACTCCATTTTTACTGGTGATGGTGGTTATGTGCCGTGGAGCCGGTTCTCACTTATAGCTACTCTGTACAGGATTTCCAAGCCTGTAAATCTTTACAGGAACAGAAAGCTTCATTGCTAGCCCACAGAGGAGCTGAGCTGGTAGATTCAAACTATTGATGTTGTCATTAGCATAACTCATAAACCATGATGCTAACCGAGCTCCTTATTATATATTGTTATTTCTGTATTAATATCATGCTATATTATTATTGGACTCCTGGTGTGGCACTGTAGGATCAGCACTGGACTGTGAAACAAAAGAACGGTAGTTAAAACTAATGTATCTCCTGGGACACCCTATAGTCTCTAGGAATCAGAACCAACTCGACGGCACTTATAGCAACAACATCATACCATTATTATCATATTATCTCTATATTTCCCCCAATCAGAATATACCTTCAAGAAAAATGCTTCAAGGTCACAGGACTGCTGGTGTCCTGGGCCTTTATAGGTCTGGCAAGTAGGTAGAGAGAAGATCATTCGTATCTATTGCTAAGCCATACTGTACACTTACATATTTTAATGAACAATTATGCATGCTGTTAGAAGTTATGAAAATATATTTATAGGTACTTTTATAAACAATTATAGCACTATCATTTATTAAAACGCAATATATGTCAGGCATCATACTCTATTATGTCATTTCACTTAGACTTCAAACAATTACGATTGTGTATAAGCACCATTGAGTATAATCACAAGCAATTATATCCAATTGGTTGATGAGGGAAAGAATAATTTTAAATCGTTTAGTAACTTGTTCAAGGTCACAAGGCAGGACTGGGATTCAGACACACTTCTGCTTGTTTTTAAAGTCTGTGTTCTTGTTATTTCTTCAGTCCCACTTGGAGGACTAGCAGTTGATAAACTGCTATGCATTATTGATAATGGAACAGTGAAAAGATGACCTTAGATAGAATCATTCACAGAATTAGCTTTTTCACAGTTTGGTTTCAGAAAGACTGGTAAAATCATTTGACTCAAAGAGATATATTGTCTAAATGAGCCGACTGAATAAACAGAAAAGCCTCAAGTGGACAACCCACCGGCCTGACTTGCTTAGTGCTGTCTCCTGGTGCCTGGCTCAGTGCCTGACTCATAATGGTGCTGTGTGCTGGCCTGATTTTTTATTCATAATGACCACATGTGACAGAGAATGGCTTCATATGGTTTCCTGGACTTTACCAAAGTAGGTCACCAGGTCTTCCTCTGGTGGAGGTGTTGAGTGGGTTAGAACCCTTTAGTTTAGTAGCTCACGACTTACTTGTGTACCACCAGGACTGCTTTGATATAGTTAAAAAGAAAAAGAAAAGAAAAACAACAACCTGTTGACATTGAGTTGATTTGAAGACACAGCAAAGCTATAGGACAGAGTAGAACTGCCCCATAGTTTTCCAATACTGTAAATCTTTACAGAAGCCAACTGCCACATCTTCCCATAGAGCAGCTGGTGCGTTCGTGACCTTTTGATTAGCAGGTGAACGCTTTAACCATTTTACCACCAGGGCTCCTTGGATTCAAAGTGTTGTTATTGTTAAGTGCTGTCAAGTTGGTTCTGACACATTTCAACCAGCATAGGATTTCCGAGGAGGAGTTGGTGGGTTTGAACGACTGACCTTTCAATTAGCGGTCCAGTGCTTATCCTACAGCACCACACAGGAACTCCTTTGATATACATAGTTGTTGGGATGGCAGAAAGGATAAGAAGAACAAAATGCCAATTTTTTCCCTCTTTTTTAATTTGCAGCATTTTTACTTTTGACTCACTTGTTCATTGTGCTTGTCTCCAAACTATTGTGTGTTTTAGAATTCACTGATAGTCTACATACGATAAAGTTTCCCCCTTTAAGGTGCACAGTACATTGACGTCTAGTGTATTTACCCAGTTATATCACCAGCGTCATAATCACCAAATTCCACATATGGTATGACCCAGTCGTGGGAAGAGTCCAGAATAGGCAAATCTAGAGACAGAAAGAAAATTAGCAGTCTTCTGGGGCTAGGAGCAACTGCTAATGGGAGCTGGGTTACTTTGGTGATGTCAGTTGTAAACAAGAAAATCTTAATATTTTATTAAAGCTTTCTAAGTAGTAATAAAGATGACATATACTTTGCATATCAAATACATTTAGTGTGCTAACAATTCACCTGTTTCAGAGCCACTGTTACAATTTACTTACCCATCATGATTATGCTCTAGGTTACCAACCTAAAACTGGTGATTTGAACCCACCAGGCCTAACATGCCCTGAGGAAAAAAGACCTGTCAGCCTACTCCTGTTAAGGTTATTGTTGTTGTTAATTGCCATTGAGTAGGTTCTGATCCATAGCGACCCTGCATAGGGTTACTGAGGAGCAGTTGGTGAGCTTGAACCGCTGATCTTGTGGCTCAAACCGACACTTGCAGTCCAGTCAGTGCATTAGCCCACAGCGCCATGCCAGGACTGTCTTAGGAAAACCTATGGGGCAGAGTTCACATTGCGTCTCTATGAGTTGGATTCAACTCAAGAGTACACAACAACAATTATATCACAGTGATTTTGATTGTAGACAGAATGAACACTGTGGCGGCCAAGAATAGCGAAGATGTGTTTGCAGTAAGCCTGTTCATCCACTTGCAGCAGTTTAATTGTAATTTTGAACTTTGAAAGGCAAAGTCTTCACAGAAGAATTCCTATGAAAGTTTTCTCTATATTTTATTTTGCAAGGAGCGAGAAAACCCTGGAGGATGCTGAAAGTAATCACCTGGATAACTTCTCATGCAAATAGAAGATTTCCCTTTTTTATCCTGCCACCTCTATCTCCTCAACTGCCTACACTATATATAGTCTTATTTAATTTGGTATGATCTCGACTGAATTGAAAATTTCCTCTTCATTAAATCAATACAAATCATTAGGATGCTACCTTGATGGCATAAAGAGAAAGTATTTAGAAACTGTTCTTTAAAATACTAAGAATATAATGTACAAAACAATAGTATTATTATTAGTAGCATCTACAATGAAGCTAATCTTAATCAAGTGATTACTGTATGAAGTACTTGATATGCATACTTTTATTGAATCCTTTCCAAAATCCTGTGAGAGAGAAACTGCCATTATCCCCAATTACAGAATTCTGTAACTGGTTTAGAATGATTTAGGATGTTGATTTTTTCCCCTCTGAGATCCCATAGCCAGTGGCAAAGCTGACATTTAGACCAAGCCTGCCTAAGACCTAAACATACCCTCGGAACCACTGTTTTATGTCATCTATCTTCAGATGGTGTGTCAGTTTTGAAGATCAAAAAAGATGAATTCATAATTCTTGTAATCCTAATCAGAGAACTTCGCTCATTTCACGTCTGAATTAACTCTGAACCTAACGTTTAATAATCTGACTCTCTTTAATAAATCTCAGATACTTTGAGGTTTCTCTCATTTTGTTAACTTTATTAATAAAAAAACCCCCACATATAAACAACAACAACAAAAAAACATGGACACTTATAATCTTGACATATATTGTTATTATTAGGTGCCTTCAAGTTGGTTCCAACTCATATCAATCTTATGCACTACAGAATAAGACATTGCTGGGGCCTGTGCAATCCTCACAATTGTTAAGTTTGAGCAAATTGTCATTGCCACTGTGCCAATCCATCTCATTGGGGGATTTCCTTTTTGTTTGCTGACTTTCTACTTTTCCAAGCATGACGTAGTTCACCAGGTACCAGTCCCTCCTGACAACACATACGAAGTACAAGAAATGAAGTCTTGTCATCTTGCTTCTAAGGAGCATATTCTGACTGAACTTCTAACAAGATAGATTTGTTTGTTCTTCTGGCAGTTTATGATGTTTTCAGTATTCTTTTACATCACCATAAATCAAATACATTTTTTTGTATGCTGTCTTCTTTTTTCATTGTCCAACTTTCACATGCATATAAAGCAATTGAAACTACTATGCTTGAGTCAGGCCCACCTTAGTCCTCAAAGTGACATCTTTGCTCTTTAATATGTTAGCTTTT